TCATGCCTTAACTAATCACTCATACGCCATGGACAGGGCTGGGTGTGTGTGTACTCGTACTCGGGTTTTCCGCTGGTACTGCATTGTGTTTGCTATTTATACAGACGTTTACTTGTTATCAAGCTTCACTTTTTTCATACATGGTCGTAAGAGAATTTTGTACATGACAAATATTAAAAGCACAAAGAAAAGTTATAACACTTTCTTTGCTATTTATTAGTCGTTTTGTAGAATTTTACTGATAATGAGCTCTTGAATGACTCAGTGAGAAGCTAACTCGGGTGCACTTGTATTTATATATGCAAGTATGTACGTCTGACGATCATATTTGCACAGCTGATCTGTGTAAATTTATATAGGATTTCATACATTTAAAATACTTTTTTATGTACATATCAATACTACAGACGAATGTAGTTCAGGAGCACCTTGATTAACACTTACATATTATGTATATACCGCACTTACACTGACTAGTTGCGAATAAGCAAAATAGACGAAAGAAAGGCAATGCCTGCTTGAAGCTTATCGCTAAATTACAAAGCGTAAAATAACTGATTCGGATCATTGGAAATCAATGAAAAAATTAAAAATAACATTTATGTACATACAAACAATGTAGAGAGGGGGACCGATACTAAGGATTTAAAGTATAATTCCATACATTGACGAAAGTATAAATTGGAATTTTAGCAGGTTTTTGCTTTTCTTCTTTTGTTTGTTAATGCTTATGTTTTTATGAAAGTATAGCCCATTACATAAAAAAACTAAGTGCAGCTAAGCCACACTGGGGAAGCTAAACTTACGTTACATATCTATGTCTCATAAGCAGTACACATACATACATAGATCTGCTTATGCTTAAGGTTATATTTCTTGTCTTTTTTCGATCTAGATCCCTACCTCTCTACCCCTGTTCGTTCTAATTACATTTATGTTATACTGTTTTCCTTTATCTTCTGTTTACCTTTATACTCTATCGATAACAAAATCGATAGTAACATCCAACAAAATATCGATAACAAAAACGATAAAAATATCGTTAACAAAATCTATAAATAATCGATAACAAAAATCGATTAGTAAATCCATAAAAATATCGATAATAAAACTGATAAATATTCGTTAAAAAATCGATAAATATTCGATAATAACATCGATAAATAAACGACAACAATATCGATAAATAATCAATGACAAGATCGATAACAAAATCTACAAATAATTCATCGCAAAGTCGATAACAAAATAGATGACAAATTCGATAAAAATTTCGATAGCAAAATCGACAATAATGTTGGTAGGAAAATCGATTAGGAAATCGATAAAAATATCGGTAACAAAATAGATAAAAACATCGATAACAATCGATTAGAAAATCCATAAGGAAATCGATAAAAAATATCGATAACCAAATTCATAAAAATATCGATAGCAAAACCGATCAAAATATCGATAAGTCCANAATGTAAATATTTCAAAAACGGTGACACTTTTACCTGAAAATTTTTTGTTTATCAGGGAGCTCACCCCCCCACCTACCTTCCCCTAAAGTTTGGCACGTTACTTCTGGGACACCCTGTATAAAAAATTGGCGAACATACATTGTATGGAAAAACTTCTTAACATCATCAGCAAAAAAAATGCCATCAATTTGGTTTGTTTTTATATATTTTTTTGGTTTTTAAGATTTGCCTATACATACTTTCTTACAGTTTGAGCTCATATTCGGATTCAGCGGAAAGTTTTACATAAGAAGTAATGTTCAGTGCCACTGATCAGACTTCTTGTAAACTAGTGTTATTGGGTTTGTGAGTCCTTAAAACTAGCACAAAATACATATATTTATGACCTTTCATATTCTTATTTGGCGGACAAAATCCAAAAAGAATCGTTGGTTAACTAAAATTAGTCGAAATATCTTTAATTTGAGTTTTTTTGTTTCAGTCGAGAGTATACAAATTTTTACATAAAATATTTTCCCAGCAATATTACCATAAAAAAGTAGTTCAGTAAAATGCAAATAAAGTAATCCTGAACCAGTAATAACACTGGACCACAAATTTCAACTTTTTCTCTTTACCAGAAACGCCGTTATGAAATTCTTATGTAAAATCACCCCCTGATTCCGAAAATCAAGGTTATTTTTAATTCTATGGTACCGTTTTTGAGATATTTGCAATTTACCGTTTTTGCA